ATAAAAAATGTACATAATTGTATAAATAAATAACACAATTGTATAAACAATACACATAATTGTATAAACAATACACATAATCACGTCAACTCCCTACATAACTTGCCAAAACGATGTCGTTTTGGGAGGCGCGAGACGCACAGTGCTACGCGCGCCGTGGTGCAGGGTATAGCGATCGTCCTTATGATTGACAAATATTGTTAAAAGGTTCTTTACTTAAAATTTATAATTCTAATTGAACTGAATTTCTAAATTATTATATTTATAATTAAGAATTATTAATTTTAATTAACAAAAATCATCTAATTTTTTATATCTATCTAAATTCTTATATTTATTTAAATCCCTAAACTCCTAAATTTAAATTACAACCTTAGTCATGATTAGAAATAATTTGTGGCTCCTCACCAAATTTGTGGCTCGTTTTATATTTCATCGTCCTAGTTTACAAATTTGATTTCTTACATTATTGGATACTGTTGTGTTGAATATTACTCCCTCCGTCCCGAATTGGATGTCTCATTTACTTTTTGCACGCTTTTTAATGAATCAAAAGTAAATGTTATGCACTTTCCAATTATGCCCCTCACTTTTTCACTTTTGGAAATAAAAACAATAAAGAAAGCAAAAGCTAGAAGGGTAATTTGAAAAAAGTAGAATGATGGTGATGTTCAATTTTAGAAAGTGGACAACATTTTGGGACAAACTAAAAAGGAAAGTAAGACACATAAAATGGGACAGAGGGAGTACATTTTAACTTTTTAATAAGTTTTAAGATATAATTTGACTATTATATAATATTTGATTAAGTGTTGATTTTTTTACATTATTGAATATGTATTCTTACAAGATGTTGCAATTGTTTGTAATAGTGACTAAGGTTGTAATTTAAATTTAGGGGTTTAAATAGATTTAGGAGTTTAGATAAATATAAGAAATTAGATGATTTTTGTTAATTAAAATTAAAAAAAAAAAATTAATTCAATTAGAATTCTTAATTTTAAGTATAGAACATGTTAACAATATTATTAATCATACGGATGATACAGGTTTCATTGTCACTGTCATAGATACGCATGGGACAGAGACGTGGGTTGAAGAACGTCTGGACCGGGCAGTAGCGACCACGGAATGGGTTGACATATACGAAGATGCTGAAGTCCGCAATATCCATACCCTTGAATCAGACCACACTGCCATTTTTCTGGATGTGGAATCCAGACCAGTACGAACGATCAAAAGGCTGTTCCGATTCGAATCGGCATGGCTCACCGAGACGGGGTGCGCAAAGGTGGTGGAGAACGTGTGGCAGCAGTCCGTTGGTCATAATTTTCAGGATCGCATTGCGATGTGCGGTCAGAGGCTACGCAGATGGGGCGGTGATTATGCGCGTAAATTTGGAAACAGAATAAAGATGCTGCGTTCCCGGCTGGGCGTGTTAAAGGAGGACCGGTCAGAGGAGGCCGTTTGGAATTTTTTAGATGCTGAACGTGAATTGAATATACTCCTTCGGCAGGAAGAAATTTATTGGAAGCAACGGTCTAAACAGCTATGGCTGCGGCTAGAGCCGTCAAAACGGGCTTAGCCCGCCGAGCCGGCCCGCCCCGCCCCTACTTAGGTAGGGGGCGGGTTTTGAAAATAGAGGACCGTTTAGGAGCGGGCTTTTTTGGCCCGCCCCGCTTAGGCCCGCGGCCCGCCAGGCTCGCCCCGCCGGGCCCGCGGGTTGCCCGCCATTATTTTATTTTATTTTATATAAAATATTTTTATATAAAATATGCACTTTAAAATTATTTTTATGTGTAATATTTTTGGACTTTGTAATTGTGACTAGTTTGATGTTTGATAAACTATGAACTTTGAACTTTATGTAATATTTAATGTTTGATTATTATGTTTTATGTGAGTTATGACTTATGTATCAATTTATTTTAATTAGTTAGATGTTTGATGAACAATTTTTAAAAAAAAAAAAAAGGGTTTCGGCGGGGGCCCGCCTAGCACGCGGGCCACTGGCGGGGCGGTCCGGGCCTATCAAACCCAGGCCCGTTTAGGAGCGGGCTTTTTTAGCCCGCCCCGTTTAGGCCCGCGGCCCGCCCCGCCCCGCCAGCCCGTATTGACAGCACTAGCTGCGGCAAGGCGACTCAAATACGAAATTTTTTCACAAATCAGCAACAGCCAGACGCAAGCGGAATCATTTGCTTCGGATACAGAACCAAGAAGGAGTCTGGAAAGAAGGGACACATATGAATGATGAGATATTAAGGTATTTTAACCAAATCTTTTCGTCTGGGCATACATCAGCCAATATTTATGATCGAGTCAATCGTCTAGTTACAGATGAGATGAACTCTACTTTGATGCACAGGGCCGTTCCAATAAAAATTGGGGTCCTGTGCAATGTCTCAAATTAGGCCCTTTTCAAGTAATTAATTTGTATATATAAATAATAGTTGTTCAAAAAGTTGTATCAAAAATTCAAAATATAAATATTGTATAAAAAATACATCTAAATTTAATTTTAAAAATTGAGATGCGCCGTGCACATTTAGACTCAAAATCAACCACCAAACTTTTGTTATCAACTTCTTCTAAAATTTCATTTTCCTATCATCGTTGTGCACATTATCATTTAAATTTTTTCCAATCTCATAATCATCTTGATCTTCAAGAGTAGCATCTAACAATTCTTCTTTTCTTTGTACGCTTCTCAAACCCAGATGAATATTTTCTAGAAGATATAATTATAAAATCCTAAGAAAAAAATAAGAATTTATTTTAAAACTTTATGAATAAATAATTAATCAAAAAAAAACAAAATCTTAATATATTATTCTGAAATCAGGATTATTAAGTTATGTAAAAAAAAAAAAAAAAAAAAAAAACCAAGAATTGTGGAATATTTAGTAATTCTAATTACATGTTAAGAGAATTGAAGAACTTTTAAATTTGTGACTTTGTATAATCAAGAATGAATTGAAGAATTCTGCCGAGCTGCGTCTGTCGTATGCTATTTGCGCATTTGCATGCTACTGTTGTATGTTGAAATTGGCGTCTGTCTGTCGCTGCTGTTTGTGAGATTTGGTGATTTGCGTAATGTCGGTATTCGGTAAATCAGTAATGAACTCAAGCCGTCAAAGCTACGCCGCTACGGACCTACAATCCTTATGCTGTGGAACCGTGTCCACCTTATAAGGTGGACACAGTTCTATGTTCATAATTACTGAATTATATGTTCATAATTATAAAGTTATATATTCATAATTTTTGAACTTCATATTCATAATTATTGAACTCTATATTCACAATCACAGAAATCTATGTTCATAATTACTGAACTATATGTTCATAATTATAAAGCTATATATTCATAATTTTTGAACTTCATATTAACAATTATTGAATCTCTATATTCATAATTACATAAATATATGTTCATAATTATTTTCACAACTCTATATTCATAATTATAGAATTATATGTTCATAATTTTTGAACTATATATTCATAATTATGAACAGTTTTGGAACCGTGTTCACCTTGCAAGGTGGACATGGTTCCACAACATAATTTGCCATGGACCTAGTGACCAAAATATCCTTTGATTATACGGTCTCTTGCCGGAAATATTAACGGTGGACTAAAAGTGGAACACATTCAATAACAGTGGTTGTAAAGTGGCAAAAAAATTAAAGTGGATTGAAATTGAAAACGCCCCTATAACAGTAGGACCAAAAATGGAATTCATTCTAATAATAATAATAGTAATAATAGTAATAATAGTAATAATAATAATAATAATAATAATAATAATAATAATAATAATAATAATTATTATTATTATTATTATTATTATAATAATAATAATAATAATAATAATTATAATAATAATAATATGGAATTAGGATTGTGAATTCGCCGAAGAGCTTAATAGTGCAGCACTGCCGCTTAATTGCTTAATGTTTATATACTGTATACATATATCATATAATTTTTTTTTTTAAGATATGGGCCCCCAAAAATTGGGGGCCCTGTGCAAAGGCCCTGGGCAGACTTGCCCAGGGCCGGCCCTGTTGATGCAACCTTTTACGGTGCCAGAGGTGAAAGCAGCTCTGTTCTCTATGGCCTCGGAGAAAGCTCCGGGCCCAGATGGCATGTCGCCAGCTTTTTACCAACATTTCTGGCCGGTACTAGGCCACGACCTTTCAATGTTTATTCTCAGATGAGTTGAGACCCGGAACTTTCCTCAAGGTTTAAACGACTCGAATATAGTCCTTTTGCCTAAGAAGAAAATTCCGGAGAAAGTCTCCGATTTAAGGCCTATAGCACTTTGTAACGTGGTGTACAAAGTGCTGGCCAAGATGTTGGCCAATCGGCTAAAGGGGTGCTTGGGACACGTTGTGTCACTTTCTCAGAGCGCCTTCGTCCCTGATCGTTTACTGACGGACAGTATTATAGCGGCAGGGGAAATCGGTCACTTTCTGAGAAGGAAGACCAGTGGGAAGGTGGGTTGGGCGGCGCTAAAGCTTGACATGGCTAAAGCGTACAACCGTATGGAATGGGGCTTCTTAGAAGGTATGCTGGGGGCTTTGGGCTTTAATCAAGAGTGGGTGGAGTTGCTCATGTTATGCGTGACATCGGTGAACTATTTCATCATGGTCAATGGGGAGGCGGCGGGTACCGTCGGCCCCACCCGAGGCATTCGACAAGGAGACCCGCTGTCTCCTTACTTGTTCATTATTTGCGTCGAGGCCCTGTCCCTTTTACTCCAAAAGGCAGCAGCTCGTGGGGCCATTCACGGTGTAAGGGTAGCCCGGGGAGCTCCAAGTGTGTCGCACCTGTTTTTCGCTGACGACAGCCTTTTGTTTTTCAGGGCGAATCAACAGGAAGCGTTGTAGGTGAAGGAATGCTTGGATTTGTACAGTGCAGTATCAGGTCAATTGATCAACTACGACAAGTCCAGTGCGGTATTTAGTTTAAATACCGATCCCGTTCAGCGTATGATGGTGTCAGAATGCATTGGGGTCCGCAAGGCGAATGACCTTGGGAAATATCTGGGCCTTCCATCGGTGTTAGGACGCAATAAGACTGCTACATTACGGTATGTGAAGGAAAAAGTCCGGGAGCGTATCAGTTCGTGGCAACACAGGTTTCTTTCCAAAGCAGGTAAAGACGTGCTTCTGAAAAGCATTGCGCAAGCTTTGCCAATTTTCACGTTGTCTACCTTTCTTTTGCCGATCCGTGTATGTTCGTCAATTGAAAAATTATTTAATCGTTACTGGTTGGGGGGGGGGGGGGGGGTGAGGTGGCGCAGGGACTAAGGGGATCCATTGGTTGAGCTGGCACCGATTATGTACTCCAAAAATCAAAGGTGGCCTAGGATTCCGTAGAGTGCACGAGTTTAATAGAGCTTTACTTGCGAAGCAAGGGTGGCGACTCATGATCCATCCAGATTCTTTGGTCAATAAAATGTTAAAGGCAAAATATTATCCTACATGTGACTTTTTGGAAGCGTCGATAGGTAACAATCCGAGTTACATCTGGCGTAGTATTATCGCGGGGCAAGAGGTCCTGAAGTATGGCGCAGCTCGACGGCTAGGGGATGGAAAGAATACACGCATCTGGGGCTGGGGTTGGTTGGCAGATTCTGCCAGTCCACACCTTATCACTCCATGCAACGAGAATTTGAAAGAGGCCAAGGTCCACAGGTTACTCAACAACAACGGCCAATGGGATGAAGAAATCATTAGGGACATTTTTCATGAAGATGACGTACGAAGAATCTTGGCTACCCCGGTGAATATTCTTGCTGAAGACACGTGGAGGTGGCCGGGTGATCTGAGGGGAATGTATGCAGTGAAGCATGGGTACCAGTTGCTGACGGCAAATCTAGACGACTCGGAGGTTACAAACCAGTTCCATTCTTGGAATAAACTATGGTCCTTACCCGTATCGCCGAAAGTCAGAAACTTCCTGTGGCGGTGCATTCGTGGCATACTCCCAGTGAAAGAAAATCTGCAGACGAAGAGGGTGTGGTTAGGAGGGGGTTGCCCATTATGCAGTTCACCGTCCGAATCTACCGAACATCTGTTGTGTGACTGCTCTTATGCGAGAGCTTTGTGGAGGGACGAGGACATTCGGCAAGGCTGGAGGATACAACAGTTCATGGAGAGTCGCATAGGCTCAGCAAATACTGATCAAGCGGCGCATCTGGCAGCTATTTGCTGGACGCTTTGGATGGCGAGGAATGATGCGGTATGGAGGCAGGTTACACCTACGGTGGAGGGAATGCGAAAGCAGATACATAGGTTGCAGGTCCTCTGGAAAGAGAATTACGGGAAGAATGATAATGTGAGTCGGGAGAGTAGCGTGCCAGAGCAGTGGGAACCACCACCTTACAATACTCTGAAGTGTAACGTGGATGCAGCCTTGTTTACATCCGGTGCTGGTTTTGGCGCGGTGGTTCGAGACCATGAGGGTCGATTCGTGGCAGCCACGTGTGGCAAGTTGCAATGTGACAAAGACCCGTTTATGGCTGAGGTCGCGGCAGCTAAGGAAGCTCTAAGCTGGCTTAAAGACCTTAATCCAACTCATGTTATTCTCGAATCTGATTGTTTAAATTTTTGCATTGCTTTTAATTCCAGTGTAATTGATTTTTCGTATGTAGGGTCTGTTGTAACTCAATGTCGGTCAATTGCGAGGGACATAGGGAACGTATGTGTTTGCCATGTCAGGAGATCAGCGAATCTGGTGGCCCATAAGTTGGCTCGGGCAACCGATTCTATGGCTGACTCGAGATCGTGGGTTGGTATCCCACCTACTTGTATTGCTGTTTTATTGAATTAATGAAGTTGTCTTGTTTTCAAAAAAAAAAAAATTTAAAAAAAATTAATTCAATTAGAATTCTTAATTTTAAGTATAGAACATGTTAACAATATTATTAATCATACGGATGATACAGGTTTCATTGTCACTGTCGTAGAATTGAACTTGCAAGTGTAAAATTGTTAATAATTAGATATATAATAATCAAGTAATAAATATGTTTAGGAAAGTAAATATATTTTGTTAATTAGAAATAAAAGACTTACCTAATAAAATACAAGTCTTAGATATTTTGCAAAAAAGGACCCGGTTAATATTGAATTTGTTTTTTAATGATGTGGCATCTTCTCCTTCACCGCCGGTGTATAGCATCTATACACCAACGGTGCATCAAATATTAATCCTATTAAGATTATTATAATTTGTTCAATAAAAGTTAACTTTACAATTTAATGAGGTGGCGCGTTCTGATTCACCGCCGTTGTATAGCAGCTATACAACGCCAGTGCATCAAATATTTTCTCTTATTTTAATATGTTGGCTTGCTCTCGTCTCTATATCTTCTAGATGATTTTGAATAGTTAGGTAATACGGCATACATACTAAATTTAATTTATCTGTTACTTGATGAAATTTAAAAAGTGGGTTGACCTAATGGATGGAGAGTTAAACAACGATTGATGATATATGATGTCAATTTATAAAGCCTATATGGTGGGCCGCTTGATCGAGTCCGACGGTAAATTCTGATGTAGACTACGGATAAATGTTCATTTTTAGTATACAAAAGTTTTGTTTTTTATTTTTTGTTTTGTTTGTTTGTTATATTTTTTTTTTTGTTTTTTGTTTTTTTTTTTGAAGAAGAAAATAGAAGAAATATATATATTAAGCACCGTCAAAAATAAGGTATACAAAGGAAAAAGTGAGGATTAAAGAATCACTCCACGTAGTTTGACATAGAAAGGGATTCTCGGGCAATCCTATTCGCAGATCGCTTAATAAAACATATATTCACTTGTAAAAGTTGACTTATAAGAACATTAAGGGACCGTTTACTAACTGGAAATTTTTGGAAACTAGAAAATAAACATGTTTACTAACACAGTTTTCCATTTTGAAAACTGAAAATAATTTCTAGAAATTTTTGAAAAACTGAAACACTCTTAAAAACTGTTTTCTAAATGAAAAATAGAATCATCTATCATCTATTTAGTTATATGTCACTATAACCACATTACTATGATTACATTCATTATCATCTTATTTTACTTATCATTATCTTCTATCTTTTCTACTTACTTTACTTATTTAAACATAACTTATTTGCTTACACTTTAAAGTTAGACATTATTTACATTATCAAAATGAAGAATTAAACTCTATATAATGTTTTAGATTTTGATTAAACTCAATAGATTATTAATTCGAATATTTTTAATTATGTTACATCGTAATACAAGTTCGGTCTAGATATCAGATATTGAAATCTCACACATATTAGAATTCAAAGTAAAAATTATATATTCATATACATGTCATTCAAATGAATATATCCAAAAAATATTTTAAAGGAATAAGGGTCAAATAGGCCACTCAACTGCACATTAAAGTGCAATTAGGCCATTGAACTTAAAAAAAAATACAATTAGGTCCCTGAACAATACAAAATCATGCAATTAGACCCAAATATGACATGTTTACCTGAAATGGCGGTTACCATTTTAAAATTAATTTTTAAAAATAATTCTAAATAACATAATTAATTAATTAAAAAAAAAAAAACTAATCTGCTGGCCGTCTTCGTCTCCAGCCATGGAGACGAAGCGGGCCGGCAACCATGGAGACGAAGGTCTCTAGCCATGAAGACATTCGTCTCCATGGCCGGGAGACGAAGGGACCCATGGAGACGAAGGTCTTCATGGCTAGAGACCTTTGTCTCCACGGTTGCCAGCCGGCTTCTTCTCCAGCCATGGAGACGAAGTCGGGCGGCAGTTTAGGTTTTTATTTATTTATTTATTTAAATTAATTAATTAATTATTTTATTTAAAAATATTTTTAAAAAATAATTTGAGAATCGGTAACCGCTCTTTCAGGTAAACATGTCATATTTGGGTCTAATTGCATGATTTTGTGTTGTTCGGAGACCTAATTGCATTTTTTTCGAGTTTGATGACCTAATTGCACTTTAGTGTGTAGTTGAGTCGCCTATTTGACCCTTATTCTTATTTTAAATATTAGCTTAAAAAATATTAATATTATCTAAACTAAATTTTAGGTGAACTTAGCAGGTTTTTGGTTCAGATATATTTGTTTTAGTTATTATGTTATATACAGATATAAATTTTGTTCTGTTATCAAATGTAAAAATCTTACACATATTAGACTTAAAAGTAAAAAAAAAAAAATTAAATTTATTCCATTTAAACCAAACATATGTAAAAATATTTTAAAAAATAAGTGTTAGTAAATAAGTTTTCTAAACAGAAAACAAAGAATGAAAACTGAAAAATTAGAAAACTGAAAACAGAGAACAATTTTCTGTTACTAAACGGACCCTAAGATTCTGGACAACCAGAAGTGCCTCTATTTCAACTTGGACTTGATTGAAACCATGGAGTTTAAGCCAACTTAGAGCCTCTCGAACTGTCATTGCTTCGACTTCTCTTAGAGAAAAAACACCTCTACACGGCAAACACTGTGCTGCAATAAATGAACCAGCTTAGTATCATCTCTAAGCACCCAATTAAACCCCGTTTTATTGTTAGCCACATCCAAAGCTACAATATTGAGTTTTGTCCATCTAGAATGAGGTTTCTCCCATTTCACCACAGGTCTAGGTGTTACTGGTGCCTCCAAGAATTGACCCACAACCACTATTTTCTACGCTTGAAGATATTGTCTCGCTCTTTCTGCAATAAGCTTTCCATCCGTAGTTCGATTGTTCCATACCATGTCATTTCTAGCTTCCCATAAACTCTAACAATACATCACAAAAGTGCATATATAATCCTTATGCAAAATATTGGAAGCTCTTTCCGCCTAATCTACAAATGAAATCGTATCAGTTGGATGGATATAGTGATTGAAAAAACTCCAAGTTGTCTTTGCAATTTGGCATTCTACCAAGACATGCATGGATACTTAGGATCAGATTGGCATCTCTTTATGTAAAAATGTCTTGTATTACTTCCTTGTCCCATTCCCTGACATTTGTTTTCAGAAGAGATGCAATTGACTCATTCTCAAGATAGAAGAAATGGTTTGTCTCCACCATGGTGTTGGTTTGATGAGGGAGCCATCTGCCTCTCTATATAGAAATGGAATCACCATCCCCCACCCTCCATCTAGTACTCATCCGAATTATGTCCTTAGTCTTAAATAGGCTGCTCCAAATAAAAGATGTGTTCTTTCCCATGTTGGCAACAAGAAAAAAAAAGTAGGAAAATAACAACATTTGAGGATTCTTGCTGTAAGAGAATGAGGGTTATTGATGATCCTCCAAGCCTGTTTACTCTAGGAATGTTAAATTCCATTAACTTACGAAAACCCAATCCACCCCCAAATCTTTTTAGAGTACATAGTTTATGCATGCCACGAGTTCCACCTAATTTCTCTGCGAAACGAAGATGAGTAACCTTAGGGGCGTTACGTTTCTAGCTACAACAACTCTATGCAAGTCTCCTCTACCTTCAGCATTCTCAATCAACTTAATCCTTCTGCAACCAAGATGAATATGTACGGAGACAGTGGATCACCTTGTCGCAATCCTCTTTGAGGGGTGATATGGCCTGTTTCGGTTCCATTATCTAAGATAGTGTACTCAATAGTGGTTGCACACCCTATCACCAGGTTGACTAATCATTATTGCATGGACCATGGTCCACACAAATTGTGTGGACCATAAATAAAAGATACATTTTTAATATACTAAGAGTACATTATTTATATACATAAGGTACATTTTAAAAATATATATTTTTAATATACTAAGGGTACATTATTTTATATAATGTATCTTCAGTACAAAAATAATGCACTTTTAGTACAAAAATAATGTACTTTTAATATATTAAAAATGTAACTGATATTCATGGTCCACACAACATGGTCGATTCAATAATTTGCCATTGGGCAAAGCTTGACATATTGAAATCCAGAAGGCCCAATAAAGCCCAATTAAAAGTAGAAGTTAATTAAACATTCCTAAACCCTGATTAACAGTGTGGTTTTTCCGGTTTCGACTTTACGACGCCGTAAATCATTCTCTTGCATTTCTAATTTCTAACAGAACAGAAAAAGACACCCTCGCAGCTCGCTGACACAGAGAGATGAAGAAACCGGCGGGATCGGAGAAGAAGAGGGTCCGGCGATCCTCCGGTTTGGCATCCAACGGTTCTAATCCCGCCGCCGATATACCTTCTAAGGTAAATAGTCAACTCTCTTCTCCCGCCGATGCTTGTGCATATGTGTGTTTCATATCAATGGATTCAATGCTGAGTTCTTTTCAGTTCACTTTTTCGATTTGATTTAAGATAAACTTATTGATTGATATTTATTGCATTCCATTTTCTCAAGATGATCTACGAAAATGGAGGTGATTTTTTTTTTTTTTTTTGGGTGTTCTCTTTTTATACTTGAAAAATATTGGTATTGAATTCAATAAGCGTTGGACAATAGGCATATTGGTTATTTCAATGCAATTTACTCTGCAAATGGTTTATTGCTTTTAATTCTTTGAATATGATAGGGGCAAATCTCTTAACAAATTTAAGCATACTAGTAAGTTTTAAGTCTTTGTGAGTAGGAAATAATATGAATTCAAGGGTCAAATTGTGTCAGTATAAAGAGGAGTAGACTGTTTGTATGGGGTGCTATATTAGGTATGCCTACTGCCTACAATCTACATGTATTTTTTTTGTTAAGAAGTTGACTTCTCTATACTCAGTTAAAGATGTTGCCTAGAACCTGAGACTAGCCATTGAAATTATTTCTAGAGTGTAGGAAGGTAAATCTGACCTCAG